AATTAATAATAAAACGGATAAGAAAAGCAATATTCACTGTCAAAATATTCGTTACATTTTGTTTTCTCGATAAGATAAAAGATGTGAAAATGTCCAAATGAACAAAACTATGCGATTGAAGATAGAACACAAAATGTTTGGGAAATTTTTATCATTCCTTTCCACTTAAACGTTCCAATCAACCATCTCATGTTCTGTATGAATCACGTCGAAAATCCAACTACTTTGGATAGATAAACACCTGCACTTCACGTGTTGTTAAAGGTGGTTCTGCTTCGTGAAGTCCCTTGTTGGAATGAAACAAAAGGCTCGTTGGCTTCTCTACAAAAGCGGGTGTCCAAAAAGACACCCCATTAACTGTTACTCGTCCTTAAATCTTATAAACATTAATTAGTTAGATCACGAAAGACAACCGATTTGCCAAACGCTTAATAGTTCTCTGGCAACCACAATGAAAATATTATTTCTTATTGACCAGACTAGCATTCTGTGGCTTGAAATTTGTCTAAAAGTGATTAATCTAATCGGAGATTTTTTTTAATCTGAAAAAGACCTGGCCAAATTTTGTGTTTATATTTGTTTTTACAAGCCTTTATTATTTTTCTTGAAACAAACTTAGATCGATCTTGAGAGGATGATGGTAAAGAACTTAATAATTTTTTTTTCAACTTGATCATTTGCCGAACAGTAAAACATTACGGGTATTAAACTATTTAAATTATTTAATAAACTCTCGAAAATACCACAACTATAACATCCCATTTAAGATATGTAATAATAATAAGATTCTTTATTTAAGAATAATTACGAATTTATATAGCAAAAAAGATGCTATCTAAAAGCATGTAGAGCTTGGATATCCGTCAGCCTGAGAGTGATACATAGTTTTGCAATAATAATAATTAATTATTTGGAAATACTGAGATGCGGTCTGATGTGGCGTAGGTTTCACAAAAACATTTTCTTTATCATGCCAACGTTTCAATCTTTATTGAGATCATCTTCAGGGCCTGGGATTTACAAACATTGTTTACATTTAACAAATACATGTAGGATGTGGAAAAAAGTAGATTTATACAACGCAAAAAAAAAAATTTTATATTCAATCAAAGTATTTTTACTCACTCAAAGTGTTTGTTTTCTGCCTAATGTTTGTAAATCCCAGGCCCTGAAGATGATCTCAATAAAGATCGAAACGTTGGCACGATAAAGAAAATGTTTTTGTGAAACCTACGTCACACCAGACCGCATCTCACGATTTCCAAATAATCACAGACTAACGGTCACTAATCACCACACATAATAATAATAAAAGAATGCAGAATAAACTAACGTAAAGATAGGGACAACGCTATTTTATGTACAAACAAGAATTACATTATAAAATTATTTTTAATTAAAAACTAAATTATATTGAATTGACATAGCGTTCAAATATTTAAAAAAAATAGTGAAACAATACTTATATAATAAAAAGGAATGTTTAATATGATCAACAATAATGTAACGTTAGTGTTTAGCATTTTTTTATGTTAAAGAACGTACGCCAAGGTGTCGTATTCTGAATTCTACTAATACTGGACACGAAGCCAAAAAATGAACCACATCCTTTCTTGGCCCTATGTAACAAAATGAACATAGCTCAACCCCCACTTTCGACTCATGGGGTGAAATTTAGGCAAAAATCACCCCTCATTTTAAATAGCCAATGCAGATCCCTTAAGTTAATCGGCAGTTCATTCGTCAATGAAAATAGTCTACATTCAATGTCCAGCTGTTTGGGTGAACCTACTTGGGGGAAGAGTCGGAAACGGGAAGAGTCTTTGGCGAATGCTACTTTACCTTCTTTGAAGATATGTAAATGACCATAAGAAAAAGTTATTGCTTGTAAATTGTCTCAGAGCATACTTATGTCAGCTGCACAAGGAGGACTCACAATACGAGAAACCAGCCAATGTTCCAGGTCTCGAGGTCATCGTCGATTAAGTCGACGTGGTGGGCTCTCTTTGGGAATGCTGGAGAAGTAGAGTTAGGATGTATCGAGTGGTTGAGGGTGAAACTTTTGGAATAGGTTCGTTGATAAAAGGGATGTTGGGGTCGTAGTGGATAATGTATGATAGAAAATAGCTTTGGTGATTTGTCTGAGGACTTTTGATTGGAAGGATTGGATGCGGTGGTTGTTGGATGGTTTGGAAGAACTCCACCGTTCCAAAGTAAAAGTGGTCGCAGTAAAGCTTTGTAGTTTAGTGTTGACGGTGAAGACGGATTTCTATCCTAGAAGTCTTCCTAGTTGTCCAAGTCTTAGGTTAAGTCTCACTCTTAAGTCTTGGGGATTTCCCGTCAGCCTTCTGCCCCTAGATATAATCCTAAGTATTTAACTTGAATGAAAATCGATATCATTATCATCGATATTGTTGATGTAGTGGAGAGGAAGACTACTTTTTTGAGTGAGAACGTACACCGAGTATATTTTTCTTCAGTCAGTCTTGTCCTCCACTTTTTGATCCAGGCTTCGATAACCTCAAGATGTTCTTGGATGTTGGAGGTAGCTTGGATAGGATTCGAGTTAGAGGACAAAATAGCGATATCGTCCGCGCAGGTGGTGGTGATGATGGTGGTATTAGGGTGTACTGCTACAATAAATCATATAAAGGATGAGACCGAGAATGTTCCCGTTTGGGACGACGTCTTGTATCTCTCTGACTTATGAAAACTCGTTCCCATTCACACATCTAAAGCATAGTTTATTAATTAATTATAAGTAGTTTAGATTTAGTCTATTTTCTCTTCATTAGTGTCTGCATGCTGTATATGTGCTATAGTTCAATGCGATTATTGTGTTCTTTTTCTTTAGGTTTCAGTTCATGTCATATCAAAAACCGTTTATTTTCGCGTATTTTAAAATTTTATGGACAATATCTGTCCGTTTTACACAGTTCGTTCTGTTCGACTGATACGATATTTCCTCTGTATCTTTGTTTAGTTTTCGATAGCATATGCCGTTCTTCAAGAGATTGTACGCCTGTTACATAATTTTTCATTTATCTTTATCTTCTTCTGTTTTTTGTTTTGATTTTTTGTAGTTCGGATTTTGTTGGATAATTAGCTAATTTATTTCAGTTCTGGCCATATACTGTTTTTAATATTTTATAAACTTTTTTGCTTGCATGGTATTCAATTTAATCAGATTTTATTTTATTAATAATATTTTGAGCATTTTAATAATTCTTTTTCGTTTATACTGTTCAAATACGTTCAAATAAAATGTTAAGTCAAATGGAAAACCCTTTATTTATGTTGGTTATTATGTGATATAAAACGAACAGAAAGAACAATCTGACTATGGTCGAGTTTATACATATTTTCTCTTGTTCCGGGTGGTCTTATTTCAAAATCTGACGCTTATTCCAATGTGAGACATTTTTGCGGACCGTATGAAATCACTATACTTCAGTCAACTCCCATAAAACTCAAATTCATGCAGTCGTAAATAGAAAACATCAATCAAACTGTTCCAACGTCGATTAGAAATAGAATTCATTAGGGTTGCAATTTCGAATTGTTCCAACGTCTATTAGAAATATAATTATAAGATTTAGAATTCAAAATTGTTCCGTCTATTAGGACTAGAATTCATTAGGGTTGCAATTTCGAATTGTTTCAACTTCTATTAAAAGTAGAATTGTAGAAGAAAGTAGAATTGTGGAATTCAGTACGGTCGCAAATTTGAAATGTTCCAACGTTTATTGGAACTATAGTTCATTAGAGTTTCAAACTGTTCCAACGTCTATTAGAACTAGAATTCATTAGGATTGCAATTTCGAATTGTTCCAACGTCTGTGAGAACTATTGTGGAATTCAGTACGGTCGCAATTTTGAATTGTTCCAACGTTTATTGGAACTATAGTTCATTAGATTTAGAATTTCTAACTGTTCCAACGTGTATTAGGACTAGAATTCAATATGGTTGCAATTCGAATTGTTTCAACGTCTACTGGAACGAAAATTCATTAGATTTGAAATTTCAAATTGTTCCAACGTCTATCGGAACTATCGTTCATTACATTTAGAATTTCTAACTGTTCTAACGTGTTTAAGGACTAGAATTCAATATGGTCTCAATTTTGAATCGATCCAACGTTTATCGGAACTATAGTTCATTAGATTTAGAATTTCTAACTGTTCCAACGTTTATTAGGACTAGAATTCAATATGGTTGCAATTTCGAATTGTATCAACGTCTATTGGAACGAAAATTCATTAGATTTGAAATTTCAAATTGTTCCAACGTCTATTAAAACTCGAATTCATTAGAATCGGAATTTCAAATTGTTCCAACGTCTATTAGAACTAGAAGTTACTAGTAGGTTACTAGTAGGTTAATAGAAATCAATTTTTTTGTAAGATTTTTGAAACTTGTGAGTTTTGATCAACAGTTAATGTGTAAATTGTCTTTCTACTATTCAAATTAGCTTTTTTTAATGTGTGTGTTTTAGTGACCGGTTGTTTAATAATTTGTTGGGTTCGCGAGGACCTGTCAAGAATGAGGTGATTTAGATATTTTGCATATTCTTTTGCCGACGTTTCGACCTTTATTCGAGACATCTTCAGAGCATAAAGTGTGGTGCTATTCTCGTGGTGAACGTATTTATAATTGTCACAACAATTTCACACAACACCAATATGGCAGTGCAAGAATAGCACCATAATTTATGCTCCAAAGATGACCCGAATAAAGGTCGAAACGTCGGCAAAAAAAGAAAAAGGTGTTTTTTCAAAATTACCTCATTCTTGACCGCTCTAACGAATCCAACAAATTAATTTTTTTAATATTTATCTGTATGATCCATTTAAAAATACATTCAATTTGTGATTATAATTACAAAATACGATTTCTCAATTATCTTCTCTTAAATTAAAATTGAAAAGTAAACAGAACACAGGATAAAATATAAATTTGAAATTGATTAATGTTAAAAAGAAAGTATAAACAACGATACCTGGATATGAAATCCATGCATGTTCTTGTATAGAGATTTTCCTTAGGCTGATTGACCTTTTGGTGCACCTTGAGCACGTCAACTTCATTTATGTCCATATTTATAAGCACTCACTTTAAACACCATCTTTCTTCAAAACCGACGCACAAAACTGAACAAGAACCGGGGGAAAAAATTTGACATTTTTTTTTACAAAGAACTATGAACAAGTATCACTGTACGATGTATGTTAATCACCCGTAGTCGAATTAGCAGTTATTTAATGATCGAATTCGTCCGAACGGCCCCGACTGCAATTTCGATCCCCTTTTCGATTATCAATGCTATCGTGGAATGAGACCAGACGTTGAAAGATAAAAGTTCAGATATCATCGAGGTCAAAACCACCGCCTAGGACTATGAAAGCCCGCCCAAACCGCAGTATCAAAATCTACCGTGAAGCGTTACGACCGAAAATCCGACTGGCAAATAGTTCGTTCCTTACCCTTCGCACTCGGTCCGATAAAATTATGATAAAACGTGACTCATCTTATCAAAAGTTAAAATGCAGGCCGATAAGTCTAAACGGCTCGGCAGATTTTTTGATAAACAATTGAGATAACTGGGTGATAATATTTAAATTCAAGCCCCCCTCCAAAAAAAAGTTTATCTGTAAAAAAAAATCAGAACAATCAACAGTGATAATTTCTCGCAATTATAAAATTAAATAAAAATTCAAGTAATTTTTGAGTATCTTGTCATATCGCAGTGTTGTATACATACAACCAACATAAAAAAAATAAATTTTGAAAAATTAAGCAATTTTTATCACGATATTCAGTTTTTTATTGATTCTTTTTTACAATAATCTATAAGTAAACCGTTGGCATTTTGTACTCAAACATTTTCTCACGGCTTCAAAGTTAAATTGTTGAATATAAATTTTAAAAAATTAACAAAATGCTATTAAATTTTAACGCTAACAAAAAGTTCTTAATGTATAATTCATGTTTTGAGCCAACCGACAGCTTTTTTTTATGAAATATAATTTCAATTACTAATCATTTTGATTTTTCAAGGAGTCAAATAGACAATGTATTGATCAATAACTTTAAATTAGTAAATATACGCGAAAGTTTATTGTAATCGTAAATTATTTTCTGTAGTATTTTTATATTTTTTACGTTAAAGTAACAACCGGTAAACAACAACAAACAACAAGTATTATTGTTATGTTTTAATCAACCGGATGGTACCGTTTTTCAACTGCCCCTTCTTATGCTAGCTTCTCGGTGGGTACGCGCTGTTTAGCAAGTGTATTATGCTACAAAGTATTATTTCAGTTTTCAATTACCATAAGAAGATAAACAAAAAGGCACACTCCATTAGGAAAGCGGCATCCCCGAACTAGACAAAGAAGAAAGACTAACTCTATACTAAACCATTGTTCTTCGCCAATATCTTCTTTGGCATGAAGTCTAAGTCGGACGGATGGAGGGGACACTTCGTCCCCACTCGGCTCTGTCCCTGTATTTTATGCTGATTGACGTCATTTGTATTTTTTTTAAATATACAATTGACTTTTATTGACTGGGATTAAACGAAAAGTTAAAAGTTACCTAGGGTTAGATTTGGATATCTTGCAAGCTATATGTGAGGTTGAGTGTATTAGAAAATTTAAATAATTCTATTGTCACAGGGTGCTTTTGAAACTTTGCCATACTGTTAACCATTTGTTTTTTCCTTATTAGGATTTATTGAGAGAATAAAATCAAGAACTAATCGCCAATTTTTTTTAAAATTTTTCCAAAATATTTCCTTTATAAATAAACTTCTTTGAATAAGCTCGTCTAGTTGCACAGTGTTTCTTGTAGTTCAGATTGGTTAAAATTAAGCAATGACGTTCAAGAATACAAGATTTTGCGTCACTAGTCAATACTCAAAACGTTTTCCTTGAAACACCCAGAGTCCAAACAGGAATTTTTTTCTTAGCAGAGTTTTTTCCTGCCATGTTCCCGACTATAACATTTCCACGTCCCTATAAATATAACGGGATGTACATAAAGTTGTACCGGACCATGTCGGAAATGAGAACCCAGCTCTGCTGATGAATGGCGCCTTTTTCCCTTGTAACACGTTGACACTAATGACGTTTATTTCAGGCTGTTTACCGCGAATCTTGCCAACTACGGCAGTCCACCCCTGGGATTCTTAAAGACAAATTAAAGACCAATTATTTTCGAATGGGTCGTAAAGTACGGATTGGGTACGTCAGAAATGGACTTTTCCCTATAGGTTTCTTTTCGGAACAGCTAACATACTGGAAGTCACAGAATTGGTTGACTTTGACTAACGGTGATGAATGTCGTAATCAGGTAAGTGCGAGATAGATTGTTTTCCTTTTTAGCTTGAAAACATAGAACCCTTCAAGTACAACGTTTTCTGAAATCTTTACGTAAGACATTGGCTGAGATAAAAAAGTCAGTGTCGCGAGCAGGATTCAAACCACTTGAGTTCGATCCCCTCGGACACCAACTCTCCATCTCAACCTACACACTTTCGAATTTTTCCTCCTTTTTGTCTTTTTTCAAATATCAAGTAATCGGGATTCGATTTTCGGCGACAAATGAAATGGAGAGGAAAAGGAGAGCTTTCTTGAAGATATACTTCGTTTTACTTATTAAATCTTTACGTAAGGCATTGGTTGAGATAAAACAGACAATGTCACGAGCGGGATCGAACCCAGGATCTAAGGCTAAATACGCCGCTGCTCTATCGCTTGAGCTATGGTGACTTCGATCCACTTCGACACTAACCTCCCATCTCAACTCCACCTTTCGAATTTTCCCTCCATTTTGCCATTTTTCAAATGTCGTGTAATCAATTCGATTTTCGGCGAAAAATGAAATGGCCACGGAGAGCTTTAGTGAAGGTATAATTGATTTTACTGATTAAATCTATACGTTTGGTTGAGATAAAAATTCAGTGTCACGAGCGGGAGCAGCGGCGTATTTAGCCTTAGATCGTGGGTTCGAATCCCGCTCGTGACATTGACTTTTTTATCTCAAACAATGCCTTAAGTAAAGATTAATTAATTGAAAAAGGTTATTCGGTCAATCGGACCACGAACTCTAATGGGTTTTCTGGAATTTTAATTTTATTTGGAAAATGGTCAAATCTTTCCTTAGAGGGACCGTGGTAGCCGAGAGGTTAGCGTGAGAGACTCTCGGCTCATAGACGCCGCGGTCGTGGGTTCGATTCCCACCGTCGCCTCTGGCCCTTTTTTCACGATAACCCCCCCCCCCCAAATATGAACACACATACAACAATTCGTCACCATGGTTAATATGCACAGAGCATAAGGCAAAAAAAAATCTTTCCTTGGTGTGAGTTTGTATAATGTAGATATAGGTGTAGATGAATTCGGGGTGTGAAATATTAAGATCTATTCTGTGCTTAAAACACACCAGTAAGTCCTAGATCATGAATGAACTTGATTAGTAAGCCAGGTTTCTGTCGTTCAATTTCTTCTACGGTTACGTTGTACATCCCAAAAGTTTGGGGATGGTTATTGCATGTTCGGTTATGCCAATCTTTTTCATATGCCCATTGGGTCGGCAGTGTCCAAGAATAATTAAACAATAAGCGGTATCAGCTTAAAAAGTAAAGACCAAACTCAACACGTCATAGTATAAACTAACGGAACTTTGATAATTTCATGTACAATTTCATTTCCCCTTCAATGTTTACAAACTTCTAAAAGCCCTCTTATACACGTTGCTGGCAAAGCATAGCCAAATAATTTAATAACATACTTGCATTGAATAATTTACACTATCATGGCGTCCATTATTTTATCACTGCTAAAACGAAAAACATGAAAGATCATAATGGTTTTCTGCTATGAATTCTTTTAATCCTACAAACAGATTTATTTTTAAAATTTACTAAATAAACAATATACACCGAAGGGTAAAGTGTGCAGTACAAGTTAATGGAACTGATTGTGATTGCAACATCTGAAAAAAACAGCTCAACGCCGCATAAAGCTCAGATTGAATATAAAAACCAGAGAACGCGCCCACACGATAACTTATCTAAATGGATTCTGTAATTTTTTTTTTACAAGGGTTCGCAACAGCAGAGGTCATATCAACCCTCAGGGTGCTGGTGTTTTTGAAAAAAAAAAAAAAAAAAAAACATTTGTAAGTATATCGGGTTCGAATGCAGGGCCGCTGGATTCGAACCCGGGACCTTTACAGTGATGAGCGCCGAGTCAACGCCTAAACCGTTGCGGCCACCGACGCCCCTAAACTTACAATTGTATGCCGAATCGCTCTCATCTTTCCCAGGGACTTCGGGATTCTGGTTATGACAGACGTCTAACGTTCCTTGTATAAATGTCGATTTGGGAGGCTGAAGGAAACGTTCTTCCATATATCCTATGGACTGATGAATCCAAGTTCACCTCTAATGGCATACTAAACCGGTGGAATTTTCGGGGAGAGGATCAGAGAATTTCGTACTCTTGTCATCATCAGGTGGTTCACAGTATCAACGTTTGGTGTGGACTTCTCGTTAATAAATTTATTGGACCTTGTTTCTAAGAAAATAATTTAAATGGTGCTCAGTTCCTCAATTTTTGAAACTATTTGATGATGTTCCTCTGCAACAACGAAAAAAAATGATCTCCAGCTTGATGGATGCCCCGCACTCAATTCTTTGCACGTGAGACGTTATTTAAATCGTCACTTCCGGAATAGGTAGGACCTCATGGCCCGGTCTGTTGGCCTCACCCGATTTAACTACACTTGACTATTTTCTGTGGGGACATTTAAAAAACAGTGCCTATGCCAATCATAACCCAGTAACCTCAGTTGAAAAACTGCGGTAAAGGAATGAAAACGGTTGTCAATCCATCTCCCCTGACTCTATCGCTTTGAGCACCGGTAAAGAGTGGTTAAAAAGAGAAAATATTTGCATCTTTACGCAAGGCAGGCAGTACGAACGTGAAATGTGATTAACAAATAGCAACCAATTTAAAATCAGATTGCACTATTGTTTGCCAATTTTCGTAATTTTCCGATTGGGATGAGAAAACCTCTATATTGTTTTGGATGTTTGTTCACCTGCAGCAAGTTAAAATGCTGCAGTTTAAATTTAAATTTAAGCAAATTGCCCCATATGGCCTCGAAAGAAGATCTTATCCCAACTCTATATCATCAGTAAACATGGCGGTACTGTTAAAGTAGTAGAAATACTATGTGTTGTGTATTGTATAAATATTATGAAATTAGGATAATTTCCTGGGGTACAGCGCATTAATTGGGAAAATATTAACAGACCAACATTACTGCTTATACAGGAAATGTCTTTCGGACAGCTCATCAGGAGAATTCAAAGTTTCCTTTTAATTTATCAGTTTTTACTCTTACCTTTTTTACGCAAATTTTTAAAAATAAGTGTTTTGCTTAAACATAAATTGTATTTTCCTTCCTACGTTTCTAGTTCAGGTTCATTAATTGCAGTGATTCAAGGTCATCTGACAACAGAACAAGGTCATCTGCAACAAGCAGCCTTGTGTCCTTCGACTACTCCTCCACTTAAAGCATCTTCAATGTCATTATTGGATATGACCAAAGACAGGGGCTTAATAAGCATCTCTGTTTTTGTGAAATTTAAATTATATTTATGGATTACATTTTTCTTAGGTCATTTCGTTGTCAATAAGTATTCCTTGGATCTATATAGTTACAAGAGGCTACTAGTAATACTTAGAACCATTAAAATACCACACAAAATACTAAATAAAATGGACATTCACGACTGGTTAAATTCAATTAAGCGTCGAAGTATGCAGTTTTGAACTTATATAAATCAGTAATCAAAATATCTCATGAGATACAAGAGTTGACCAAAGGATTGGTATATGTGATGAAAAATTGGTATACTGGTTAAATCCTGACCCCCTGGCCAATGGCTTCCCAGCGGTCGGAAAATTTTCCACATCGACAATGTGCGTCCATGTGAATTCTCATCGACTTTCTTCGCGACGCAAGACGGATTATTTCCACTCGACAACGGCCATTTTCACGTCAATTTGTCTCGGTTTTATCGCACAAAAAAGAAAATTCGACGAAGACCATCACTGGCGTCTACCGCCAAGTAAGGAAATTGGGCAATTTGAACCGAACATGCAACCTTGCAGTTGAATTGGCCCAAATGAACTCCAGACTAGGAGATTACCGAGATGTTACCCTATGAAAGAAAACCTTTATTTGCCCACTTAATACATTTCCTTTGTGATGTCCTCGTTAGTTCGAGTCGTATGTAAATGTACAACTTCATTTTTAAGGGAACAACAAACTTTTCCATATTTTCAATTGTTACAAATAATAATGATAAGATTCTT